GCGGGAAGCCTGCTTCTCCCTCTCACACTCCCCTGCTTGTGTTCCCTCTCTCTCTCTGTCAAATAAATAAATAAAATCTTTAAAAAAAAAAAAAAAAAGAATCACACAAGTGAAAGCTGTCACTTGGCTGTCACCTTTCAATCAGCTTAGGTCCCTGTGCACTAACAGGTAGGCATTCTGAGCCTATATTTCTTTTGCTTCAGCTTTCTTTATTTCTCAAAGCTGTACTACAAGAAAACTTCTCCTGCTTGGGTTTCTGTTTTATCTCTTTTCTCAATCTCCAACCCCCCCCCCCTTTTTTTCCTAATTAACAGAAGTGACTTGAAATCCCAGCATACTCAAAACCGAAATTCTTGTGACTGAGGAAATAGCCTATAGAAGTAGATTCAAATATCCTAGAATTTATAAGTCACAGTGTGAGAAGCACAATAATAGGAGCATATGCAAAATACAGGGAGCAATTTAATGTCCTAATTATGGGGAAATATATTTAAAGGCACAATATTTAAAAAGAAGGAGGTGAACAATTTACTGATATGCAGACAGGGTGGTTGGTATGAGATCAGATCCCTGACTTACAAATGCATTAAATGTTGATGTAGTCACTGAATTTAAAACATACTATAGATAAAGTTTATGATAAGCCTTATATGGGAAATAAAGATAATCTAGATTTGCTCTCAAACTAAAACCCAGTCAATGGACTGAAACTAATCTTACACTATATGTTAACTAACTGGAATTTATTTTTTTCTTTAAAGATTTTATTTATTTATTTGAGAGAGAGACAGAGAGCATGAGCAGGGGGGAGGAGGCAAAGGGAGAGGGAGAAGCAGACTCCCTGCTGAGCAGGAAGCCCTATACAGGGTGATCCCAGGACCCAGAGGTCATGACCTGAGCCGAAGATAGACGCTTAACTGACTGAGCCACCCAGATGCCCCACTAACTGGAATGTAAATAAAAACATGAAACTAAAAAAATTTTTAATAATTATGAAATAAAATAAAATCCAGTGAATGGGGCTAGGTAGTTTTGTTATTTATCAAGTTTTATATCCATTTATGGCCTACTAGCATTTTGTAGATAGTTGCTCAGAATCAAATCATTGGTAAGTGGTAGAATCTGAACTTGAACCTACGCTTTCTGACTCCATAGCCTGAGCTTTCTTTTTCTTTCCTTTTTTGAATTTAGTTTTTATTTTCATCAAAGTTTTATATGTTCATAATTTAAAGAATGATGGAATTATCCAGGGTATATTATAATAAATAGCAGTCCTTCACCATGTCTGTCCTCACCTTACTCAGAGGTAACCACTTTCAACCTATTTAGGTCATTTTTTTTTTCACATTTAACTTCACATCTCCAAAGGACATGCTTCTGTTTGCTATGTCTTGGTATTTTTAGTTTTAGGAATTATTTACTTCCTACTATAGAACTTAAAGATTTAGTTCTGTTTTACCACATCCTCTACCCCCACCACATACATGCAAACTCCCAGTTTCCCAATTTATTGCAGTGCTTATTAATGAATATTTAATGTTTACATTACTGTAACTGTTTAAATGTTATTCACAAGAGGCGGCTGGATGGCTCAGTCTGTTAAGCGTCTGCCTTTGGCTCAGGTCATGATCCCAGGGTCCTGGGATCAAGCCTTGTATTGGGCTACCTGCTCAGTGGAGAGCTTACTTTTCCCTCTCCCTGTTCCTCCCCACCGCTTGTGCTCCCTCTCTCTTTCTCTCTCAAATAAATAAAATCTTTTAAAAAAATTAAAATAAATGATATTCACAGCTGAACCTTGTATATGATTACTTTTCTCTTTCCTCTTTTTTATTTTCCTAAAAATTGTCTTGTTTTTTCATTTGCTTAGTATTTCATTTTCTATGTATTTATTACTAATTCAACCTTAGCCCCCCTTTGTGAATTTCTTCTCATTACTTTCCAACACTTTAAGTGTTCTCTCAGTTTCAAACTCTTGAAGATATCTCTCCTAGAACTTTTCTGGATTAGTCGCTCTTCTGTAGAACTGTCATTTTAGATTCACCCTTCACTCTCATAATTTTCCTCTTAGTTTATACTCACTTTTTTCTGGAACATATTCTCTGGTAGCCTTCTGAGATGGGGTTCATGAACAGTAAATTTTTTGAACTTTTGCATGTCATTATTCTGTCCCAATGGTTGTTTGATATTTTGGCTAGGTATAATCTTCTCTTGGAAATTATGTCCCTTTGGGGCACCTGGGTGGTTTAATCAGTTAAGTGTCTACCTTCAGCTCAGGTCATGATCCTGGAGTCCAGGGATTGAGCTATGCACCGGGCTTATCTGCTTCTCCCTCTGCCTCTCCCCCCACTCGTGTTTTCTCTCTCAACTCGCGCTCTCTCTCTCTCTCAAATAAATAAATAAAATCTTTTTTTTAAAAAAAGGAAATCATATCCCCTCAAAATGCTGAAGGTATTATCTCACTGTCTTCTAGCTTTTCTGTTAAGTCTAACACCATTCTGATTCTTCATTCTCTGCATGAAAACTTTCCCCCCCCTTTTGGGAAGCTTCTAGGATCTTTCTCTTTCCAAAGTTATAAAATTTCACACTGATTGTCTTCGGTACAGTCTAATGTCATCCCCTGTGTTGGATGCTAATGGGCCTTTCGATCTGAAAAGTCAAGTCCTCAGTTCTGAAAATTTTCTCAAACTAATCTTTTTTAACTCACCAGCAAACTTAAACTTTAAAATAACTTCTACTAGTGTGATCTCCACCCCCCTCCCCAAATTGTTGTTGTTCCTGTTTTTTGTTTTTTGTTTTTGTTTTTAAGATTTTATTTATTTATTTGAGAGAGAGTGAGAGAGAGAAAACACGAGAGGGGGGGAGGGTCAGAGGGAGAAGCAGACTTCCCACTGAGCAGGGAGCACAGTACGGGGCTCAATCCCAGGACCCTGGCATCATGACCTGAGCTAAAGGCAGACACTTAAGGGACTGAGCCACCCAGGCACCCCAGTGTCTGACTCTTGATCTCAGCTCAGGTCTCAAATCTCAGGGTGATGAGTTCAAGCCCCATATTGGGCTCCATGCTGAGCATGGAGCCTACATTTAAAAAAAAAAAAATGGCTATTACCAAAAAGATTAAAAATAACAAATGTTGGTGAGGATATGTAGAAAAGGGAACTCTCATGTACTGTTTGGGAATGTAAGTTGGTGCAGTCACTTTGGAAAATGGTATGGAAGTTCCTTAAAAAATTAAAAATAGAATTACCATATGATCCAATAATTCCACTTCTGAGTTTTCTCCAAAGAAAATGAAAACACTAATTCAAAAAGATATATGCAACCCCTTGTTCATTGGAGCATTATTTATAGTGGCCAAGATATGGAAACAACCTAAGTGTCCTTCAGTACATGAATGGATAAAGAAATTGTGTTATCTGTACACAATGGAATACTATTCAGCCATAAAAAAGAATGAAATCTTGCCATTTGCAACAACATGGATGGACCTCAAGGATATTATGCTAAGTGAAATAAGTCAGACAGAAAGACAGATACCATATGATCTCTTTTACATGTGCAATCTAAAAAAAAAATTGGGGGTGCCTGGGTGGCTCAGTCGTTAGGCGTCTGCCTTCAGCTCAGGTCATGGTCCCAAGGTCCTGGGATCGAGCCCTGCATCGGGCTCCCTGCTCAGCGGGAAGCCTGCTTCTCCCTCTGCTACTCCCCCTGCTTGTGTTCCCTCCCTCTGTGTCTCTCTCTGTCAAATAAATAAATAAAATCTTAAAAAAATAAAATAAAATATAAATAAATAAATAAATAAAATTTAAACTAAGCTCATAGAGGGACACCTGGGTGGCTCAGTTAGTTAAGCATCTGCCTTCAGCTCAGGTCATGATCCCAGGGTCCTGAAATTGAGTCCCGCATTGGGCTCCCTGCTCAGCGGGGAGCCTGCTTCTCCCCCTGCTTGTGCTCTCTCTCTCTCTGACAAATAAATAAATAAAATCTTTAAAAAAACAAAACAACAAAAAAACTAAGCTCATAGATACAGAGAACAGATTGGTGGTTTCCAGAGATAGGGAGTGGGGGATGGGAGAAATGGGTGAACTGCTTTTGTTTTATTTTGTTTTAGTTTAAATAAATTGAATTTTTTAGGGATGCCTGGGTGACTCATTTGGTTAAGCATTTGCCTTCGGCTCAGGTCATGATCCCGGGTCCCAGGATCGAGCCTGTTTCTCCTCTTGCCCCTCCGCCTGCTTGTGTGCTCTCTCTCTCTCTCTCTCAAATAAATAAATAAAATCTTTTAAAAAATAAAATAAATTGCATTTTTAGAAATGTAAAGTTAAAACCTGCAAAAAAAAAATAGCATGATGTGTGTAATCTTCTGCTTGTTCAGGATTCTTTAGGTTGGCAGTTTGGCCTATTGTAACTGAGTTGGCTCATTTCTGTTCAAGTGATTATCAGCTAGTGTATGTTATCTGCTGCTGCCAGTGTATAAATCATTGTTGTGTAAACAAATTACCATAAACTTAACATCCTAAAACAATACCGTGGGTCAGGACTCCAGGCATTACTTAGTTGGGCCCTCTGATTCAGAGTCTATTACAAGGTTGAAATCAAGGGTTGAGGTTTCATCTGAAGGCTCAGCTAGGAAAGAATTTGCTTCTAAGCTAACTTGTTTATTGGCAGAAATTCAGTTCCCTAAGGACTGTTGGACTGAGAGCCTCAGTTTCTAATTGGCTGTTGGCCAGAGACTGCCCTCATTTCTTTATCACTTGGGCCTCTTCAACAGAACAACTTGCTTCACCAAAGCCAGCAAGGGAAAGAATCTTCTAGCAAGACAGAAATTACAAAGGTGACTGAATCACAAAAGTAGTATCTTATCACTTTGCCACATTTTTTGGTTAGAAGCAAGTTGCTAGGCCAACCCATATTCAGTGAGAGGGGCTACAGAACGGTGTGAATACCAAGAGGCAATTAGCGTTCTTAGAGACTACCTACCACAGTTGAGCTCATGAATATGTCTAGGACCTCAGCTGTGATAGTTGAGTTTCTCTTTCCATCTAGTCTATTAACATACTGGAAGCCCAAACTTGTTCACATGACAGCAGCAGGTTCTAAAAGAGTAAGAGAAGAAACTACAAACAAGGTCTCTTGCAGCTAAGCTTGGAACTCAGACTGTATCACTTTCATTGCATTCTTTAAAGCTAGTTGCTAGGCCAGCCTGGATATAAAGGATGGGGACCTAGACCTTACCTCTTTTTTCTTTTCCTCCCATGAGCACTTTTTTTTTCCTTCAATTTTCTTTATGGTAATAAAATACACATAAAATTTACCATCTTTTTTAAGTGTAGAGTTCAGTGCTGTTAAATACATTTATAATGTTGTGCAACCATCACCACCATCCATCTCCATAACTCTTTTCATCTTGTGAAACTGGAACTCAATAACTCCCTATTTCCCCTTCCCGTAGCCCCCGAAAACCAGCATGATACTTTCTGTCTCTATGATTTTGACTACTTAAAGTACCATATATAAGTGGAATCATACAGTATTTGTCTTTTTGTCACTGGCTTATTTCACATAATATAATGTCCTCAAGGTTCATCTGTGTTTAGCATATTGCAGAATTTCCTTCATTTTTAAGGCTGAATATTTTCTTGTATGCATATATTGCATTTTGCTTATCCATTACTCCATCAGTGGACACTTGGGTTGTTTTCACATTTTAGCTATTGTGAATAATGCTTTTATGAACAGGGCTGTACACATGTCTCTGTGAAACCCTACCTCTAATTCTTTGGAGTGGTATATCCAGAAGTAGAATTGCTGAATCATGTGGTAATTCTATTTTTAATTTTTTGAGGAACCACCATACTATTTTATATGGTAGCTATACCATTTTACATTCTAGACCTTACCTCTTGAAGGGAAGAACAACAAATTTGTAACCCTTTTAAATCTACTATATACATTTTTTTCCATAATTGAAGTATTTTTATTCTATGTACAATGAGTTGGCATTAAGGGAGGTATCTTGGCTATCTACAGTTAACAATGAGTTGGCATTAAGGGAGGTACCTTGGATATCTACATTTAAGAATGGATGTCCCATTCAGGGAAGTTCACTTAATCCAACTTAATGAAGCCTATATCCTTTGCATACTGACAGAAACACTGGCTGCATATATTGAGACCAAATTTCAGGATCAGACCATGCTGGTTTGAGCAGCCATGGTGAAAACAAGAACCCTGACCACATTTCCTCAAATGGCTCCAGTAGAGCTGCTGGTGACCTGTCTTGCTCTCTCAGCTGCAACGAGGCAAAAGGACTACTATATACATTTTTAGTTTTGATTTGCTAATATTTTATTTAGGATCCTTGTACTTATATAATAAATGAATATGCCTTCCTCATAATATTTTTGTCTGGTCTTGGCATCAGGATCATGCTAGCCTTATAAAATGAGTTGAAATTCCCTACTATAAACATAATGCCTGTCATAGGGGAGGTGCACAAGTACATTTATTAGTTGAATGAATGAATGGATAAGTAAATGACTATAGAGAAGACAGAAGGGTCAGTCAGACTAGTAAAAATCAACTAGAAAAAAAAATGTGAGTAGTTGACAGAATTTTTTTTAATGGAAATTCATAGTTTTAACTGTTTTCTTAATCTCATTTGTGTAGTCTTCTTAGGGTAGACATTCTGATGTTAACCTGCTCTGCTCCCAAAGTAGAATTTACTTTGTTAGAACAGAAAGAAACCTTTCCCAAGTTCCTATAATTTGTAGCATATTCTGAGGTCCTAGTTACTATGGTAGCTACAAGGAAGCAAATTCAAGGAGGGGACCCTGAGAGTGAGGAATGTGAGTAAAGAGCACATAGCTGAACATTGGACTTGGAAATCACTGCTCCCAGGACATTCAGTAATTCAAGGTTTTGTGGGCTGAAGGACTTGGATAGAGTAAGCACTCCAAATTATATCCAAAAATAACATCTATGTGTTTCTTTTTAAAATATTGGCTCATAATCAGACTGTTGCAGACTGTTACATTCTCAAGTTTCCTTGTAATGGATGAATTGATATATGTCATATCTACTGTGTGGCATTTGAAATTCTCTGCAAAATTTGCTTTAAATGAAATTTCCTGTAAAATTTACCTTCAAATTGGCATTATTTACGCTTCCTTCTTTAGAGTTCACTAATTTCAGTTATTGAAAAGAAACAACATACAACTTTTTTTTTTAAGTTTGTTTATTTATTTAAGTAATCTCTACATCTAGTGTGGGGCTCAAATTCATGACCATGAGATCAAGAGTCACATACTCTTCTGACTGAGCCAGCTGTGTGCCCCAACATATAACTTTTTATGATAGTTTTTCCCTATTTAGATTCAGACACTGCATGTGAATAGATGACCAGAAACCGTCTGAAGGAAAGAATGCTTTCAAGCACCTGGGCTAAACACATTATACACTTGAGTAATACATTACGTTCTAGGTATAAAGACAGCTTCAGCCAACAGTGAAACATGTTCAGTTATGTAGTAGCTGTTGTCTATCAGTAGGAGGCAGAAAAATTCATCTTTTTTTTTTTTTAAACATTTTATTTATTCATTTGACAGAGAGAGAGATAGCGAGAGCAGGAACACAGGCAGGGGAGCGGGAGAGAGAGAGAAGCAGGCTTCCCGCGGAGCAGGGAACCCGACGCGGGGCTCGATCCCAGGACCCTGGGATCATGACCTGAGCCGAAGGCAGACGCTTAACGACTGAGCCACCCAGGTGCCCCGAAAAATTAATCTTTAGAAATATTTTTCTTAGTTGGTTAAGCGTCGGACTCTTAATCTCAGCTCAGGTCTTGATCTCAGGGTCATGAGTTCAAGCCCCGTGTTGGGCTCCACACTGGGTGTGGAGCCTGCTTAAGAAAAGAAAGGAAGAAAAAAGAAATATTATTGTTCTAGAGCTCAACTTTTTTTTTTCTCTCTTTTTTGAAGAGATATTAAATCCTTTATTTGATTGTTGTGAGGATCAAATGAGAGCATGTATTTTGTTTAATTTTTTAAACGTAAACATTTAATGTTTGAGTTAAGCCCTTATACCATTATAAGAGCTTTACAAATATTAATGGATTTAGTCCTCATAACAACCCTGGGTGAGGTGGGCACTATTATGATACCCATTTTGCAGATGAAACTGAGGAATAGAAAAGTAACTTGCTCAAAGACATATAGCTGGTAAGTGGGATTTATACCCAGGTGGTTAGGCCTCAGAGGCCCTCTTCTTTATCATGATGCTATGCTGCCTCTATGTGAACATGCTTTTGTAAGCTATAGACAGATACTGTACAGACATTAGTAGGAGTTTTTATTAAGTGCCTGACACTGTACTAGATGTTATAAGAGATATAAAGGAATCACAAGCCTGCCTTTGAAGAATTTATAATCTGGTTGGCAGAAAGAAATATAACACAGAAAACAGCAATAATATGACAGCCTGTATCATCACCGTCTACCAGAGAACTCTCTACATTAGTAAATATACACCTTGTTTTCTTTCAATGCTCTCTTATACAGCATAAAATCTAATGCATAATAGACATATAGTTAATGTTGATTAATGTACATGTCTTTATTTAATGTTATTCCCATTTCCATAGTGAGCAGAGCTAGGGTATTTTTTTTTTTTTTTTAAGATTTCATTTATTTGAGAGAGAGAGCATGAGAGGGGGAGGGTCAGAGGGAGAAGCAGACTCACTGCTGAGCAGGGAGCCCAATGCAGGACTCGATCCCGGGACTCCAGGATCATGACCTGAGCTGAAGGCAGTCGCTTAACCAACTGAGCCACCCAGGTGCCCCAGAACTAGGGTATTATTTGCAGAGAAAGAATTCCTTGTTATACTTTCCTTCTGTGCCATGTAATGGGTTTATGGATCATCCACTTATTCGCCTTTTTATTTTTAATTTTTATTTACTTATATTTGACAAATAAAAATTATATATATTTAAAGTGTACAGTGATGTTTTGATATATGTAGACGTGATTGTGAAATGATTACCACAGTCAAACTAATTAACATATCTACCACCTCCTTAATTCTTAGTTTTTGAGATAATTTCACATTTATAGAGTGATTACAAGAATAGTAGAGAACTTATATATCCTTTACCCAGATTCCCCAAATGTTAACGTTTGTTCTATCATTCTCTTGTATAATATGTATACACAATATATTACATATCCTATTATTATATTTCTCAGCTATTTGAGAATAAGTTGCAGATATGATTACCTTTACCTTTAACTACATCAGTGTGTATCCTGCACCCCACCCCTCACTGCTACCCAATAAAGGACAGTCTGTTAAAACAGGAAATTACACTGCTACAATACTTTAATCTACAGATCTTATTCAGACTTCACCAGTTAACCTAATAATATCCTTTAGAACAATACAAAAACATTTTGACTACCCATGTTTTAAACATTGTGGTAAGTATATGCTATATGACAATCCTGAATTTAGTTCCAAGAGAATTGTGAGCAGGTGCCCTGTCTCCCTGACTTAGTCATGCAGGCAGGGGCAAATGGCTTTGTTTGATTTCCCTTCTTTTGTATGATTCAGTGGAGCAGCGTGACTTCATTGGAGTGGACAGCACAGGAAAGAGGCTGCTCTTCATGGCTAATGAAGCGGACTTGGATGAAGAGCTGGTCATTAAGGGATCCATCCTGCAGAAGTAAGCCCTAGGGTTTTTCTTTCTGGCAATTCTCCTTGTCTTAAAACAAAATAAAACCACCCAGTGGATGGGAAAGGGGGAATGAAAACTAGATTATACTGTGTGAAATTGACAAAAGTATGTGACTGTTTTCCCATGAGGCGAATGAAGGCTTTTCTTCACTGCACAAGCTTAGCTTTTCCCTGTGTCTTTTCTTGCCAAGGTAGAGTCAAATCCTGCATAGCAGTAGGGCAAAGCAGCTGTGGGGAGAAGAGGGAACAGGACTGTCTTTCTAACAGTGTTCTAGAACTTCCTTTTCTTTTTTTTAATGGTGGTAAGCACACAACATAAAATTTACCATCTTAACCACTTCTAAGTGTACAGTTTACTAGTGTTAAACATATTCACATTGTTGTGAAACAGATCTCCAGAACTTTTTCATTTGGCAGAACTGAAGTTTTGCATCTGTTAAACAACAACTCTTCTCTTTTTCCTGTCCCCAGCTCCTGGTTACCACCATTTGACTTTTGTTTCTATGAATTTGACTACTTTAGATACCTCAGATAAGTGGAATTATGCAGTATTTGGCCTTTGTTGACTGGCTTATTTCACTGTATAATATCCTCAGGGTTCATCCATGTTGTAGCATGTGTCAGAATTTCCTTCCTTTTTAAGGCTACATAATATTCCATTGTGTGGGCCACATTTTTAAAAATTTATTCATCTGTCAGCAGACATTTGGGTTGCTTCTACCTCTTGGCTATTGTGAATAATGCTGCAGTGAACATAGGTGTGCACATATCCCTTTGAGATCCTGCTTTGAATTCTTCTGGATATATACCCAGAAGTGGGATTGCTGGATTCTATGACAGTTCTATTTTTAATTTTTGGAGAAACCTCTATAGTGTTTCCCATAGTAACTGTGCCATTTTACAATTACAGGCGCCCAATAAATAAAATCTTTTTAATAAATAAATAAAACTGACAGAAATTTCAATAATGGCCAAGTAAGATAATTAAATATAATAAAGCTTAAAAACTGGTGGTCAAGGAAAGAAACAGGATTCTGATGAGAAACAGAAAGGAATAGGGGGGGCGCCTGGGTGGCTCAGTTGGTTAAGCGACTGCCTTCGGCTCAGGTCATGATCCTGGAGTCCCGGGATCGAGTCCCGCATCGGGCTCCCTGCTCGGCAGGGGGTCTGCTTCTCCCTCTGACCCTCCCCCCTCTCATGTGCTCTCTCCCATTCTCTCTCTCTCTCAAATAAATAAATAAATAAATAAAAATCTTTAAAAAAAAAAAAAAAGAAAGGAATAGGGGCACCTCAGTGGCTCGGTCAGTTAAGCATCTGGCCTTTGGCTCAGGTTATGATCCCAGGGTCCTGCTTCTCCCTCTGCACCTCCCCCTGCTTGTGCTCTCTCCCTCTCAAATAAACAAATAAAATCTTTAAAAAAAAAAAAAGAAGAAAGAAAGAAAAAGAAAGGAATAAAGGTCGGCTCCCAACTCCACCCCATCACCACTCCCCAGAAGCCATACTGATGTATTAATGAAATCTGCAAATTCTCACTAATAGCTCCAAAGCTGGAAAGAAGCAAACTGAGCACATATCTCCACTTCTGTCTAATTCTGACTGAGAAGCAGTGGGAACCACTACTTTCAAGTAAATGATGAAGCAGGGAAAATGAACAATGAGGCAGACTCTTTAACGGAAACAAAAGGTCAAGCCTAAAAATGAATAGGTGAAGTAATATAAAGCTGGAAACTATTCCTCTGTAGGAATAGACTATACCCCTTAATTATGTGGAATGAAACAGAATATTTAACAGAATCTCAGGAAAGAAAAATATTTTAACAAAGATTCTGCAGTACCTTAGCTGTGTTCCCTTTGTTCCTTCTATCCCTCTGACTCACATCATTCCCTGAAGCCACAGAAAAGTACACAGAATACAAAAGAACCAGCACTACTGTGCATTTGCCCAAAGAAAACAATAACAATAATTTGAAAAGATATGTGCATTTATGTTTATTGCAGCATTATTTACAGTAGATATGGAAGCAACCTGTGTCCATTGGTAGATGAATGGATAAAGAAGATGTGATGTGGGGCGCCTGGGTGGCTCAGTTGGTTAGGCGACTGCCTTCGGCTCAGGTCATGATCCTGGAGTCCCTGGATCAAGTCCCACATCGGGCTTCCTGCTCGGCGGGGAGCCTGCTTCTCCCTCTGACCCTCCCCCCTCTCACATGCTCTCTCTCTCTCTCTCATTCTGTCTCAAATAAATAAATAAAATCTTAAAAAAAAAAAAAAAAAGATGTGATGGGGCACCTGGGTGGCTCATTCGGTTGGGCATCTGCCTTCAGTCAGGTCATGATCCCAGGCGGGCTCCCTGCTCAGTGGGGAGTCTGCTTCTCCCTCTCCCTCTATCTCTCCTCCCTGCTCGTGCTCTCTCATAAATAAAATAAAATCTTTTTTAAAAAAAGAAAATTAAAAAAAATAAAAAGCAGAAACAGACCTATAAATAAAGAGAACAAACTGGTGGCAGCCGGAGGGGAGGGAAGTGGGGGTGGGCAAAAAGAGGTAAAGGAGAGTAGAAGGTACAGGCCTCCAATTATGGGATGAATAAGTCACAGGAATGAAAGGTTCAATACAGGGAATATAGTCAGTGATATTATAATAGCATTGTATGGTGACAGATGGTAGCTACACTTGTGGTAAGCATAACATAAGGTGTCAAATCACAGTGTTGTACACATGAAACTAATGTAACATTGTGTATCAACTATACTTCAATATAAACAAAAAGGAAAAAATAACCACCATTCACA